TGTGCTGGAGAGGTTTGTCACGTTTTACCCACCTGCTCATCTTAGAAGATTCCTCATTGGAGATAATTTAAACCTGCCTTATGTCCGTTTTTAATCCCTCGTGTTTATTGGCTTTCTGGATGATTTGTTCTCGGTTTGCTTCGGGTTTACACTTCACATTTGCATGTTATTGTTTCTCTTGGCAGGTGATCTTTTGATTTTAGGTCGTGGTTTCCTTTTCCTGTTTCTGATTCTTGTTACAGTTTTGATCTCATGGTTTTCTGTTGGATGGTTGTATGTGATAATGCTGATGGAGAACTATTCTTTTGTCAAGACGCCTTTTGTACATATTTTCTATTTGGTTTGCCAAGCTTTACACGTTCACAGGTTTACTTATTTTTGGTTATATGGGTTTCTGGGTATACCTGTACTTTTTGGGACAATTTTTTTGTGTGAGTTGTAATGTGGAGAGAGGAACTCCTAGAGGGTTTCATATGTATTTTTTGGTTTTCTTAAACGGGGATCCTCCATCCCTCCCATTCCCTATACTTTCTTTTGATATTAACGCGTAGGGAGCCACCGCTGCTACATATTTTTTATTTGGTTTGCCAAGCTTTACACGTTCACAGGTTTACTTATTTTTGGTTATATGGGTTTCTGGGTATTCCTGTACTTTTTGGGACAATTTTTTGTGTGAGTTGTAATGTGGAGAGAGGAACTCCTAGAGGGTTTCATATGTATTTTTTGGTTTTCTTAAACGGGGATCCTCCATCCCTCCCATTCCCTATACTTTCTTTTGATATTAACGCGTAGGGAGCCACCGCTGCTCTTTCCAACAACATCAACAACAACAAAGCCTTAATCCCACTACGTGGGGTCGGCTACATGAATCCTTTTTCTCCATTGCGTCCTATTTAGTGTCATATTTTCATTTAGTTCTAGTAAATTAAGATCATTTTTAATACAATAAGCCCAAGTCTTCCTAGGTCTACCTCTACCTTTCTTAACACAAGTCGAATTTAAAACATCTACTCTCCTAATCGGATCATCTAATGGTCGACGTTTAATATGACCAAACCATCTAAGACGACTTTATTCT